AACTGAAGAAAACCTCTCCTTCCTGAGATGATGCAGAGGATGAGGCTGCGCTACCACAGTGCTTCAGTGGCAGCTTTAGAATAAAAATACATGAAAGAGGGGTACAGTTCAGAAATATATATATATATATGTATGTGTGTGTATATAGTGTCAATTATAGAGAGTGACATCTGGCCACACCATATGGCATTATCCAGTACGTGGTGGGTTCAACACAACAGGAGAGCTTTGCTGGGAACACAACAAAGTGTAGCATCCGTCTGTCATAACTGATATTCAATATTAAGTAATTATGTTTTTGGTTGCAATTATTGTCTTAGACTTACATGCATACTTAAAAGATAGCTGACTGTACTGTTAAATAAGCAACAAAGCTCTTTTTCACACATTTGTGCTTAGCTACTGCAGCTACGCTATGCCGTTGGTATTGTACTGGTGCCAAATTTCAACACTCATATGCTTGCCTAATTAAACAGAGTGATGTGAACTTTGGTCAAGAGTGGGAGGGAGCATCAGACAGTCCAGCTTTTTTGAAAACTGAGTGACTCAGGTCCCTGGTTGTAATTCTGATGTTTTTCCAATTAAACCAACGCCTTTTAATTTAAACTAGTAATTTATTCTTACATGAGCCAGATGGTGTGGTGCTGAGATAGTACCTTGCTTGTTTTCTTCTAAAAAAAGAAACCTGCTTTGCTTTAACACACACATATATATATATAAAGAAGAAATGGCTCTAAAACCTGAAATGAATCGATTAAAATGTGCCTCAGGGTTTGTGTCTGTGTGCGTGTCAATGAGTAATGGTGTTAAATATTCATTATTTGAATATTCACCAAAATAATTATGATTAGATGGCATTAAACATTCCTTTGTTGTGATCAAAGTGTCTGTTGTTGTTGACCAGGTGAAGCTCTGAGGTGTGACTTGTCTGATACCAGGAGTAATTAATTAATGATGGTAAGTTTGATGTTTTCTGTGTGTGCAGAGAAAAATGATTTGTGTCTTAAATTATTCATCGTTATGTATTTTTTAAATTATTTTCAGTGTTTGTGTTAAGCCCAAATGGTGTAACACATAAATAATTCTTTATAATCTGTGTAAGGCTTTGTTCTCTGAAAAAAGAGCATTAAATACACTTCCCTATAAGCAAAGTGATCTCATATGCCAAACATGAGCACCAGTTTGACTGTAGAAAAAGGATCAGGACTGGAAAGTAGACATTTTTATTATACGTCTCCATTTTCTACTTCCTTTTTTCCATTGTTGCTCCTGTGCCCTTTCTGAGCTGATAACTCTGGGGGGAAAAGTTAGCATCTTATCTGCTAACAGCTGCATTACACCATGCAAATAAATTGTATAGATTGCAGCCAGGAGCAATGCTCTGTAATAACAGTGAAAGCAGTTGCAATGACACATAATTATTGCTGTGCAGGGGTCATGATGGCTTTTCTCAAAGGAGTAATCTCAGTGTCAAGCCCTAAAATTAGCCTCTGTGCGGTAAACATTTTTATTAAAGCTGCACCGATATCACTTTCATTACATTGTAGGAGCTTCTGTTAATAAAAGAGACGACATTTTCACCTCTTCTTCTTTTATATACATACAGTTGTATCTCCATAACATTTCTGCCTGGCTATCTCATGGTGACCTTTGACCAGCTAGCTGGAGCTTTAGCTAGCAGCTACCATTAGCTAGTGTTTTACCACATCCTCAAGACCTTACACATACTGTATATGCACCACATTTTATTACATTTTTGTAAGGCTCACCAATTGTTGATGCAATCAAATCTTTGACATCAGAAAGATCAAACCTTTTCATATTCAGAGAACAATTCCAATTCAAGCCAAATGGCTCAGAGGCTTCTACCTTTTTATTAGATGTTGTTTTGGTGAACATTTACCTATAATCATAACCTGAGCACACATCAGTGCTATACTACAGTATTATATTGCTTGATCTCAATAATTCCAACTCTGTTTTCATCCTACCATCGAAGAGTGTGTGAGTGTGCAATAAAACCTGACGTGAGCAGGAAGATGAAGAGCCATTCAGTGCAGCCCGTAGCATCAGTGGGCCAGCCACCAAGAGAAGGCCATGACAAATCTTGATATGACCATGACCTAGTCAGAAAACAACCTAATTACACTCAGCTGCCAACTCTGCATCATGACAGTGTTTTTTAACACTCAATTTTTAGACATACTGTACAGTAAATGACAGTGCTGTTGCATCAGCATTCTACTGCATTTGCAAGTCAAAATATAATTCTGATGTAAGATGTGCACAGTGTTTTCTGTATGAGGTCGACCACAGAATCTATCTGTGTCCTCTGCTGCATGTCCTCTAGAAACAACAAGTGCAGTTTTTTACGCAGCTTGCAGCCCTGAACAACTTCTGTATCACAGTCTAAGAGCTGGGGATTCATTCCACAATGTTACAACCTGAAGGCAGAGGACAGGAACAAAGCTACACCCACTCTAGAGTGAAATACCACTATAACAGGATGAGGTTTATTTCCAAAATACAAATAAATCATTTTATAGTGGCAAACAATTTCGTAATATATTTCAAGGATTTATTTAAAAAATAGGCTAAAAAAAAATCACAGCCATTGCACGGTGGCCAAATATTTAAAAAAAAAGAATCTGCTGCCTTGAAATTATTTTCAAAAATAATTTCCCCACTTTTGCTTTGATGGTACTTTGCTGTTTTTATTTTTCTCGTTTTCCTTTTCTTTTGTTTGTTTTTTGTCATTTGTAATTAATTGGTAAACTCTTATTATGCCTATCCTCCCACCAAGGCAAGCCTTTATCCACGGTATAAATACTGCAGCTACGACACGGCACAATTTTCCAAATTGCTGCTATTTTTTTAAAATATATATCTGTTTAACTTCTTTCAGTTTTGCCTAACCTTTTAAAACAGTAGTTGATTCAAGCTTTATCTGGGTGATTTTACCATGTGTGTAATTCATTTGTAAACCTTTAGCTGTATCTAGGTTAGATTTTAATTTTAAATTTTAAAAAGCTTTACTAATTTCTACAACTATTATGAAACCTTTCCTTACCAACCTTTATCTTTTTATGGCATTATTTTTGGCTGACTAATATATACTGCAACAATAATGAGAAAAGCCATTTAGAGAGAAAATTAAAGTATCTTTTAGTTAAAAATACCCTTTTTAAAAACAGGAGACAGGCAAGAATGGTGAAAGCAATCACCTTTCTTGCAGCAAAACTTTATTTTATTATTTCTGACTGGGGAATGAAAATGACTCACTCAAAAATGAGGCTTATTTAATTAGTAAAATCACTATTCAGTTCATGTGCCAGTGCTGCAGAGGCAGAGTGGCAGAATGTTCTTTTCTCTACTGTAACTGGCCTGACTGCACATTTTGGGATTATTTTATTACGAGACTCGGATACCAGACAACGGGTAGTTTGTCAGAGGGCAGATTTTCACTTCTCCTTTAAATCTTTGCTTGAAACAGTCTCTATTTTGGTTTCACAAGTAAAACGTGTTTTGTTCGTGAAACTAAGCTACGTTAAAATTCATTTATCATTTTAGCCGAGAGTGAATCTGAGCAGTGACCTTCCTAAGTCCTTCTCTGCATAAACCAGGGTTATTTAGGTGTGCTTTTTCATTTATTTGCATATTTGACAGGAACAACACAGAGCAGAGGCTGCATTATTAGCAAAATGTTATTTAAATGAATTATTTATGAAATTTTAGACCAGAAAAATACATAATCTATCATATCATACACCACCCTAAACACACAAACACACACCTGTGCATTAGATCAGTAGCGGCTTCTCCCCATATTTTTGCTTTGTTGTTTGTTAAGCCTCCAGGAACAGAGGCAACACAACACCCATGCAACTTTCACACCAAATAAAATCACAGGGACATCAGAGGCTCCTGCAAAAGACCTTCTGGATGAGGCAGCACAGAAAAAAAATGCCGATTGCAGGAGCAGCATCATTAAAATTTAGTTAGGAAAGACATTAATAGGAACTCTGTGGTGTCAAAATGGACCATCCTGTCTTGAAGAGCAAAAAGCAATACGTGTAGTAGTTGTGTTCCTTGTGTATAACAACATATTGGCTTCTTTTACTGAACAGGCAGAGAGAAACTAATTGTCATTTAGCAACAGTTAAGTAGAAAAGTTAAACATTACTGAGGGACCTGACACACTTCAGCTTTCAGTGCAACGTGACGAGTTATATGTAGCCACATAAAATTAGACAAATGAACTTAAACATCTGGATATATTAAAAATAATTCTCCTAGGGGGTTAATAAATTCAATTAACTAAACTTTATTAGTAACTTTGGGAACTTTTAGAAGGAGTCTTCATGTGACACATTCAAAGTGGAGTGGAATCAATTACTTATAATTCTTGCAATAATTGGACCAAGGAAATCTATAATAAAAAGAACTGATGCATTTTCAATATCAATTACTTATAATTCTTGCAATAATCGGACCAAGGAAATCTATAATAGTGACATCCCAAGAACTGATGCATTTTCAAATTGAGATGTGAACTGTCTGCTGGATTAAAATGAGGAAGCTGAAACCTCAGACATACAGGCAGCGCAGGGGAAAGCACACAGCGTGTCCAGGAGATTATACTTTACTCTCCATTAACACCAAGAAAGCAGACAGAACGTTCTCAGCAGAGTGGGTCATCACTGGGCACATCACAAATCCAGCCATAAGCACGAGGGCCCTTATGCACAAAATCCAAGAAAACAAACACACAAGGTGTTTATCTTGCACGTAACAGTGGCATTCTTGAGGACTGTGTTAAATATGTAGAGCGTTGGAGATGTGAGCACCGCAGAGAGCACCAGAGAAAGTACCAGGCACAACAGAGTCATTGTTGTGACAGTGACCCAGGAAAGCATAACTCCTTCATGTTAAACACATTCTCCACACGTAAGAGAATTTACAGTTTTCACATCCAAGCGCCAAGATTTACAACCTCTGACCTGAGAGCAGCTAGGACCTCCTGCACGGTAATCCTCTTAAACAGTGGGAGCATGGGAGACGTAACCTGCAGGAAACATACAGAAGAAAATGTTGATTTACAGCTTATTTTTAAGGTAATTTGATGAGTTTAAGGTTTTGCATAGGTCAACTGTCCTGATGTTCCTTTCCATAACAAAGGCCATTGTTACACAGTTAAGAAAATGACTGGTAGGCTCGAGAGTTTTGAAGGATTAGAAAAACAATGGCAGAAATAAAGGCTGTTTTGTAAAAAGTTTTGTACATTTTGGCTCGAAAGTATAAGTCAGACTCTTCTGATGTTTTTATGTCCTACATTATGATGTTACCAATGTGTAGTGTGGGTGAGTGAGTGAGTTTGGACTAAAGGTGAAAATCATGTTACACCACGCCATAGGAACAGAATTCCTACGTAAGTCATGAACCTCTGTAGTTAATCAAAGACATTAAAGAAAAATGTACTTGTACTGTAATCTTCTGGTGTTTCGATGGCACTGTAAATGCTCACATCTGTGTGATCAACTGTTTGATAGTATAATCTGTACAGATGGATCATACACAGCCTTGTGTTAGAATCTGTCATCAAAACTTAGCTTTCAATTTACTTTAAGGTACAGTGAAAGCAACTTCAGTTATTGATGTTTATAGTAACGACATCAGTCCAGGGTTTCAAGCTCAAGCTGAATATAAAGTTTAATTTATTAATTAATTTGTTAATTTTTATGGCTATCAAATGGACGCTTTAATCTCATCTAAACAAAATTGTGAATATTAATCTGATGACGTGCACTGAATATCCAATAATGTGTCATGTTCTTTCAAAGACCCCGGTCCACAGGCCTCTGGATTAGTACTGTATGTGCATGAATGAAGCTGTTCAAGAAGACGTCAGTGAGGATTTTGACCACTGATAAAAAGAACATGTCAAAAGGCAGAAAAGATTAAATCAATAACTGTCAGACAGCTTGGCTTGTTCAAGCTGGACTGGCTGACAAATGCTGCAATAAGTATAAACAGAATAGTTTCACATGACAACTACTATTTCAAATCAACAAACAAGGGTTGCTTTGTATACAGACAATGTAGAAAGAATACTAAATTATTTGTAGTGAAGCAGGTCCTTTAAATATGGATGAAATATGTACACAGAAAGTATGAAGAAGATTGATTTTATCTACCTCATGAATATTAAAGAGCCAAAAGTACAACATTCATTTTATTTGTAAAATATTAGAATGAAACATTTATTAATATTATATGAAAAACCCTTCTTTCTTTAAAGAGGGCTGTAGAAAACTTTTAGTCAAAGGTAAGAAATCAATTTGTGGTGGAGGTGGAGTTTGTTTTCTCATTTACTTTTGTGCTTCACTGCATAATGATCTATTCAGTGGATAACTTTAACAGGTTTAAGAATTTATCTTTAACACACACTATTTATACACTAAAATAATAGTAAAAATAATACCAACAATAATAATAATAATAATAACAATGGTCTACCTTTCAGCTTTAGCTGTAGGTTTGGTAATCTTTTTGTATTACAGTGGTAATGGCAGAGCTCTCTAGCCTTAGCACACTTTTCGATGATTTTGCTTCTTTGGCATAACTGTAGGTTATATAATATGGTTACTGCAGCTTCTATTACTTTACAACTTGCTGTATTGATATATTTTTACCTTACATTGTATTTTTCTGTCCTAACCATAATGTATTTCTACTATATTTTAACTTTTGTTTTTTTGTTTTCTGCTGGTGTATAGTGATTTTGTGACTACATTTAATCAAGTATTTACCTGTTTTGTTAACACCTGGCTCAACTTACATTCATTATTGGCAATTTTTTAGCAATATTTAGATAACAAATGGCTAATGTTCTTTTTGCTTTCATTTTAACTAAATTCTCCTTCCTCTAAAGAAGCTATTGTAATTCACCTATCTTTGTTCAGAAATTTGCCATAAGATATAATCTATAAGTAATTATTTCCTTCACGGACTTGTGCATTGTGGGACAAATCCCATTACTGGTTCCCTTCCTCTGCAGCAGAGAGGACTGTCGAAGGAGCTGCCAGTGCAATGAGCTTCTGCTGTAATAAATGAAGAGTTAAACGGCACTGGTTGCATTCTTGCAAATTGAATGTGTGGTAAATTTGCATTTCCTCTAGGGATAGTGAAACTGATGTAAAGTGGAATCCTTGAAGGACATGTTTAAAAGTTAATGGCATGATAGAGCACTGGCGCAGTGGGCACACAGGCCGAGCTTATGAACGAGGAAGATTCTGGCAGGAAGCTTAAATATAAGTTTCAAAGGTTGAGCTGCAATAATTCTTTAACAGGGTTCTTACTGCCTAACGCAGGAGTGATTTCATACTCTTTTTTTTTAATCCCTGTCAGAGTAAAATTTCAAACCAGCATTAAGGATACATTGAAGGGAAATATTAGATAAGGCTGGGGTTGCACACAATGTTGCCCAGAAGATTTAATGGTAAGAGTACTGTCTGTGGTGTATCCCAAACACACCCAAAGACTGGTATTGGTATCAGCCACCCAGAGACTTAAAAACTATTTTTAGCCATTTTAAGTTACCCCTTTACATATTTATTGGCTAATGATTATACAACTGTTAAGTTTTTTTCACTATTTTGGTTTTAATTCACTTTCTAAAAAGGTTTTGGAAAGTTTCTAGTTTTGGCTGTTTTCAGCTTCCTTTAAATGATTTAATCTGGTAGAAAAACTTGATAATCCAAATAAATAAAAAAACTAGTATAGAAATCTAAATGTGTTGGAGAAATCTGCCAACATTTTTTCTGGCTTTCAATTAAACTTGAACGTCAATTATAAATAAATTAGAATTAGAATTAGAACAGAAAAGCCAGTTGGGTGTAGTTTCCCTTGGGTATTATTACACTATCAAAACTAGCTAAGTGTTTGTCGATGTTGGTTTTCAGGCCCCAATATGGTTTAAAGCCTAAACCCTGCCTTTTAGGGGATAGTTTTGTTATTTAGGAGGCATTTTACGGCTGATTTGTATTATCTTTGTACAAACAATTGGAAAAAGCAAGCACATGGGCTATTATCAATATGCAGTACTTGCAGCCAAGAAGAAAAAACCTAGTGAGGTTGCAGTATTTAAATCGTATATTTCTCCATTTCTGTTACACTTGCCAATGGAAGCCACTTTCCAAGAGCATTGTTTACGCAACAACCTCCCACTCTCTGTCGTAAAGGCAGGATCAGGGTGCATTCTGAATCTGGCATAACTAGAGAATTCTGTGTTTGTGTGTAGAAATATTATTGGTGCATTAATGGTCCTTTTTCTAAAAGGATACTCTTCCTGTACATGATTCATCACTGTACTTTGGTTGTTTATTTTGGGGGAGACACAGAGCTAAAAGGGTGCTAATTATTCCAATTTGAGATAAATGCTTTCTGTCAAGGAGAAATTAATGGAGTCTCACAGTCTCTCACTGACCTTTTCATCAAACCTTTGACATGAATCACTTTTTAGTATAAAATTTCAAATCCATCATCAGTGACATAGAAAACCCCAATTCTTACAGATTGAGGTAATCATAAAAGGACATTAAGGGCATTACTTTACGACAAGTCATGATTAACTAATGCATGTCTTTATTATAAAATTAACAAAGCTAAATGTAGACTATATTATCCACCCAGCAGTGAAGTGGCTCGCTTGGAGCTCTGTGCATCTTGAGTGTATGCTACCATTTGTGTCTACAGTAAGTCAATGCAGCGTGTGGCTAAAACTGATTTTACAATAAAATATTAAAATGATCCATTCTAAGGTCTTCTAAAGATAATGAGGCAAATTCTATAAAGAACATGGTCAAAATTTAGAGAAAAAGTCTCACAGTTTTACACCTCACCCCTTAAGCCATGGCTCTAAAACTCAACTATATTAAACTAAAACTTTAATATAAATATATTTAATGTATACTTTTATCAATCTCATTCTTCAATAACCAAATAAAGCTTTTTAATAATTGTTATTGACATCTAGGCCTGTGCCAGATGTTAGGGGTCCACGGGCCGAATGTGGCCTCTGAATAAAAAATTATTGTGGAGCAGCTCTGCTGAATTCATGGAAAAACTCAGTGAGCTTTATAATTGAGGTGTTTAATATGTCTAAATGTACACATATCTGATACAGTGACACCACACATGACACTATGGACAACAAAATAAAGCTAAAAGACGGAACTCACGTTGACATTTTATGCTATAGTAAATATATTGTATAAACATATATACAGACAAAGGACATAATGTCACTGTTTCTACAGATAATCATATCAGCTATTTTAAGTCATGGAACAGTATCCAATATACAGTAGATATCAGATGGTGCTCTTTTATGTTCAGGGCCATTTATAAACACAATGTACAGAACCAAAAACACCATGTCATGTTCAAAAAGAGGAGTTGGTAATTACAGTCAGTTATAACAGAGCCCTGTGGTTAAAGGACAACATTAGAGTCAGTGTTCGATCAGACTTTGTCTTAGCTCAGGTGTCACATGGAAGCTTGTGTTTTCTTATAAATAAATAGTCATATTGAGGGAAATGTGTGGCCAAGCTGTTAAATAACCAGCTTAGTTTTCCGAGGCTAGCAGGGCCACAGTGTCTAAATCTGTCAAACACACTGCTCCTGCATTTCTACTTCTAATTATGGTCATAACATAACATAATTATTACATAACAACGTACGTTGAGAACCCCCTCTGCTGGTGTTCTACTTTTTGCTTTTTCTGGATTGGAGTGTTCTGGATTTAGACTTTGTTTCAAAACCATGATGGCACTAAAAACATTTTTTTTAAATACTTCCTGTTTGAAATAGTAATTTCTGTAGTAACAAAAACTCAAACCAAAGAGACTGGACATAAAGAAGACACTTCTTGTGCCGTTATCACCCATTAGCCCAGATGGAAACGCCTCACTGCAGAGGAACAAGCTTGAGGCAGCTACAGTTTCACTGTTATGGTGCGTTGTACTTTTTATGCTCTCTATATTTGTTTTCACGTCAGTGATATAA